ACATGGCATTTGTGCCTTCTGAGTGAGAAAGAAAAGGGAAAGTTTCCACCCAAGAAAGTGGCAGGATTCATTTTGAGAAAAGCACGAATTATTCCTACAATACTAATACCAGACCTTTATATCTCTGATGAGAGCTAGATATTCTTCAGAGGAAAACTTTACCCAATCTTTTAACCTGTGGTACAGAAATAGAAAATTCACTGCATGAAGTAATTTAAGAGTTCACAGTATGACAGACGCTAAATATTAGCAACTAGAATATAATTCAGTTCTCAGTCTGAAAAGGAGGTAAGATGCCAAGAAGTGGCTGAGTAATGACTAAACTTCAGAAAAGGAGATTCCAGTATTAAGAAAAAGTTAACAGAGTAGGTGTGAGAGTCAAAAATAAGTGAAATAAAATCTTTAGATGTTTCATGGATACTACTTAAAAATATTATCACTGGGTCTTGCAGAGTACTGAAAAAAAGGGGACCCATGAGGGAAAGTCATAAATTAGGCCAGCTCAATGCCATTTTTTCTAAGTGAATTATAAAAAGATATTTCACATTTTAAATGCTGCTGTTGTGGGGAAAGCCAGAGAGAATGCACAATAAAAAAACAAAGTAAAAGGGAAATTGGAGTTGCTGAGCTTGATTAGAAAAGTAAATAACTAAGGATATATAACCAAACAATGTCACTGTCTCCTATTTTATTCAATGCAGGAAGCCTGTGGAAATACTTTGCAGGGTTTTGTAGCACCTTGGGGTTTATCTATATGTGTATCTCTGTTTTTCACTTCTGGCAGGAAGCACTCTAGTTTGTTCTCATCAAGTAAGGACTTTCCAAAGTTAGCACCTTAATCCTTTTTAAACTGGCAGGAAACATTTGCTTGTCCTTTTATTGTCTAAGCAGCTCCCTCGAGCTTTCCTGCACTCACTGCTCTTTGCTGACCTTTTGCTTTCCTAGAGGTGGACCACAGCATATGTGTCAGGTTGGCCTTGATTCTCCTGACTCGACTAGTCCAGGCAGTCTCAGTAAGAAAACAGAAACGAAGTTATTCTGCAATGCTTAAAGTCAGGATTCTGTGTGTGAGGGTAGAACCAACAGCTTAAAAGTAAAATGAATTTAAAAATAGAAAACAAATAAGTGATTAGGTCCAGTGCTCTGAGGAAAATGCAGTGGGCTTAGCTCAGCTGTTGGCAAAAATATGCAGTTCAGTCTGTCATTAAGACCAAGTATTTTACTAGAGATACAGAACTGCACTAGCCTTGTGGCTGTGTATTTTTAAAGGCTCTTGGGTGATCAAGGAATTAAAAAATTACTGTCAGACATATTGGTTGAAAGAACAATAATAAATAGAATAGAACACCAGGACTGTTAATACTATGATACAATAACATATAGTTAACACTATTTCTGTAGAGAAAGATTACATTTCACTTGACTTTTTAGTATGTATCAGTACAGCAGAGAGAAAAAAGAGAAATCACAGCATCATTCTCTTAGCCTTGCAGTAGTAATTTTCCAATTTTCAAAACATACAAACAAAAATAAAAGCACAAATTGACATTGTAGTTTATCGAGGGGCAAAATGAATTTCAGAACTATTGCCCCTACCTGCAGTAAGATCCTCTTACCACAGTTCGTCTTTCTCTCCATGGTACCAGTGCAATTCCTGTGCAGATTGTAAGTTAAAAGTTAAGAAGTAATTATGAAGTGAGAGACAAATATTATTCTGGATCAAAATCTGCCTATCAGACAGAGAACAGAAGTAAACTGCCAGCTTTTGTCATAGCTAATGCACTTAAGGGTTTAATATTACATGCTGTAAAGTATGTCTGTTAAATGCATGGAAGAGTCAGCACTGAGGCAGCAACTCTTGATTATGATGCTAGCTGATGTGAGTTAGCAGCATTCACACAGGACTGTGAAGAATTTAAGCTGAACAAAACCAAAGTGGATAAAGTAGTAGTACCAACTCAAATTTAAGTCTTGATAAATGCTATGTAACATTCAGCAGAGGTAAATTTGAATGACATTGAACTCATAAAGGGTTCAAAATTGAACACTGTACTGAAGAAAGGAGCGTAGCTTTCACTGTAAACAATGCACCAGAGACTTAGTCTGTGTCCATCTGATGTCAAAATAAAACCATACAGAATGTGAAGGGGGATAAAGAATGGGATAGGACACAAATTTTTTTTTAAATCCTGTCATAAGATAATGATGCATGTTAAAGGATAAATACTATTACATAAAATGAAGAAAGTTAATCCAGAATTTCTAATACTAAGAAACTCAAGGGGTGCTCAAGAACAGGGGAAGGTGGCAAATTTGGTTGATTTACTCAAGGAGATTTTGCAACCTACTGACACCAAGAAAGGCACAACATTCTTTCAGGGAATGAATGACATGGTGAATGGAACTAAAGGAGAATTGACATAATGCAAATATTTGGGGGTTAATAAAAACAACAACAACAACAGGAGAAGGACGTTTTAAAGGACATGTCAAACATGTTTCCAGTTTAAGATAACCTCTATGTCCATCATAGTGGGAAGCTTTATTCTGTTTTTAACTTGGGGTGACATTACATGCTCTTTTCTTAGACTATTTGGGATGATCCCTCAATAGTGCAATATGGGAGTTTCAGAGTCCTGATGGTAGGTTCCATATCTCTTCTTGTGTAGGCTTTCTTTGGAGACTTTGCAACAGTGATGGATTCCTCAGCTTTTCCATGACTCCCAAGGGGTAATGCTTTGTATCGTTGAAGGGATTTCATAAAGATGCACTCCGTGATATGCAGAAAATGTGTGTGCTCTGAATATGATTTTGAATACGATCTCCAATGCAAAGTGTAGATCTAGCTAGTTCCAGTGAACTGAGGACCCGGTGCTACCTAGGAGAGACATGCCACTGAGGTAAAACACACTGGGTAGCTGAACGTTCTATGTGAAAATGTGGCAAGGCTGCCTTTGCTTACTTTTAGCATTTAGCATTCATCATTGCAAAACTAGCAGTGGAAGCCTTAATAGAAGGTATGAAACCACAAGGCAGAATTTGATTTTTAGAAGGCATTACCAATGACTATTCCAGTAGAGTGAGGTAGCCTGAATGAGATAATAAGAAGTAGACTGTGGAACAAACCAGTCTTAGAAATTACATCTAAAGAGATATTGCTTGTTGTGCATTCTTCCCTGCTTGGGTTTTAGATTTAAAAGAGGATTGTGCAGTCCTTATCAAATCTTACCATTTGCATCATACTTGATTCACTGCTTCCTGTTTGCCAAGTTCCACACAAGAGATGCCTTTTGCACAAAGATACTCTGGATGTCTTCTAAATATCTGCTACACTTCTGAGTGCCATGCAGATTATAGCAGTATGGAATTTAACATAATCATTTCTATATGAAAATAAAAATAGAGCTGTTTATAGCAGAATTTTATATATCTGCACTCAAGAAAATACAGAATCAGATTCTACTACCTTTACTCATACAAAGGAAGAATATTATTAATTTGGAATTGTACTGTGTGTTAGCAATATAATGTATTGCTATCAAAGTAATATTCTGGCAAGACTAGGCACAGAGACAGACAGCAGATCATCTTCTCTGACTTGGCACTGACACAAAGTACCATGGCCAGAATTTTCCAAAGAACCTGGTTCCTGCAGTTAGCTCTAGATATATTTTGATTAAAGGTTATCACTCTTTTCCAGCAGCAATACAAATTGGCAGGTTTTCTTGGCATTCCTCCTCGTAAAGAGTTTTGAAGATGTAGGCCAAAAATGTAACTTTGGGCACTCAGAAGTATTCACCATCTCAGAGTTACAGAAGTAACATCGGAAACGTTTATGTTATACTTTTCAGAACATATCTCTGCATGTGAATTGATCACTAATTTGCTTTCTTTCAAAAAAAATGAAGTGGAGAAACAAGTCAAATATAACTGATGCTTTCAAAATCCTCTGAGGAACTCAGACAGTGAAGTAAGAATGTTTCAAATAAAATATTGCACTTCCCTTAGGCTTTACTCTTCCTTCGCCCTTCCTAAAAAAGCTACAGCAAGAAAGTGATCCATAAATCCCTGTGTGCACTTTATGGCATGGTGCCTCAAATGATGAATGCTGCCATGTTTTGAATAGAAAAAAAAAGAAGTCCATAAAAAAAATAAATCTGTTTAGTGAATTGAATGTTGCTTCCTTAACATTTTTCATCCTGCATTCATTTAGTAGAGGAAATGGATATTTCATCAGACATGGATTTGACGTTCCATCACATTATACAGTAAACAGCACAAACGATGTTATTTTTTTAAATGGAGAAGCTGGAAGAGCTAAGACAGTAGCTGCTGTAAGGCACTGGTTATCTCATTTAAACAGATATTAAGTGTGGGTGCCAGTGGTGTGATCATCAGCTGCTTCCCACTTTGTGAATAAATTGCTTAGGAATCTTTTTGCCTACCAGATGTGACCTAGATTTAGATTTCCAAAGGCAAAAAAAAAAAAAAAGGTCTATTGTGTAAAAAACAATTGTGGATAAAATGCATGGTAAATGAGCTTATCTCACTTTTCCAGGTGTTTAAGCTAATGTGTTATGGAATTACAGCTTCATTTATGAAAAATAATTGAGGAAAATGTTCCAGCAAATCAAATTTGGACAAAGGCTTAAGATAGTTATTGTGTTGTTAGCAAGTTTCTAAATGGCAGAAAGAAAAGGGAGCCAGCACAGATAATAAAAATATAGAAATGTGTGAATCTGTGAAGAGGCTCTTAGAAAAGGGTCAAGGCTGGCAGTGGTATCCCACCTGTGTTGTGGTCTTGCAAAATGTCATGGAACAATATGAAGAATTATGTTCCTATCAGTGTATAAGAAAGCGGAATTTTTTCTTAAAATATCAGGCATTGATATCTATTTGCCCTGGATAAGACTAATGACATTGGTAGGTTAAATGTATACACACTGAAAGAATAACATGCTTATTCTTTTTCTTGTCTTTTCCTTTTACTGATAACATAGGGGCTGCCACTCGAAAACCGGACCCGGAGCCTGAAAAGCAGACCGACCATACTGTTAAAATTGCAGGAGTCATTGCAGGCATCTTACTATTCGTCATTATATTTCTGGGCATTGTGTTGGCAATGAAGAAAAGGTGAGCAATTAGTAGATGTTTTCTATGTCCATATTCATATCACGGCATCTCCTACAGCAGTTCTCAGTTTGCCATTGGCAAACCTATCCAGCTACCTTTGTGCCCTTTGCCACAGAGTTTAGGGAGTACTGCTGCTCCCTCCTACCCTGAAAGCTTTGTCTTATCCCACAGGTTTTCTGTGAATTAACGTTTGTGGCTTTGTTATAGAAGAAAAACAACTCAAAATTAATGGTTTTAGCACTTCATGCTTTAGTACTGCATGATGGACTGTATTCATAGAACAGTATCTCTGTCCTGGAAGTGTGAGTCTCCACTCTATTTAACAGATCAGATGAAAGTTAGATGTAGTTTCATTTGTGAATATAAAAGAAATCCTCAGTGAAATAGAAAGTAGAGCTAAGGTAATTTGTCCTAAGAATGGGGTCTCTATGGTTCTACATAAACTTTATTCTCTGAAAACAAATTAAAATGTTACAGTGGAGCTGAACATTTCCAAATGCTGGTTCAACACGCACAGACATTGAGATTGTTTTGCTTTGAGTATCGTTTGAAAACTGCTTTTAAACATGGTTGCCTTTCTCAACACTGTCAAAGGAAAAATAATAAAGGGAAGAATTATCTGGTAGGTGGCAAGGGTGAGAAAGAAGTCCATATGACAACAAAAGCTAAGTCTAGATTGGGAGAAATTCATCAGCAAATAGAATTAAGGTTTTAGATTGTATCCTGAGCAATGTGAGAACTGCGGCTATAGAGGTGGGGTTGGAAGTGTAAAGAGACTGAGTCACAAATTTTCCATCCACATCTACCAGAGTCTTCTTACTGTCCCATAACCCGTCACCTCCTTGCCACTCACCCTGTGTTATCCCCTTTTCTTCCTTTGAGACCAATCTTGGCCTGATTTTGCTCATCCCAACACTCTGTGATTTAATTTTATGTTAACTAGTTTGGCAGGTCTGGGGTAGTCCAAACCCCTGAGCTGCCTGAAATTTTGCCAGAATTTGAACAGCGGAGGTGCACAGCCAAGGAGGCAGCTGCCTGACAGTGCCTCAGGGCAGGCAACAGAAGTAGCTGCTTTTCACTCTCCGTGAAGACAGAAGCAGGGCCATGAGTTAGAAGGGCTCTAGGCAGAGAAAAGTGAGCTCTGCGCAGGGCTGAGAGCTAGGTCAGGACACGAGGTAGGTAAAGCAGGCAAAAGCTGCCATACAGAAGAGATTGAAACTTAAGCCACAGGGTAAGTCTGACTGGGGCAACAAAATTGACCCGGTAATCAAATCTTCTTGATAAAGTACAGTGTAGCAGAGTTAAAATCTCTTCCAACTTTGCAGTACTTTTTTCTTCCCACTTCTGATTTCTTGCATCATTCATACCTTCAATTTTAACAGCTGAACTCCCAAATGCCTCCCTAGGGCCAGACACAGCACTTGGCATGCAGGGAGGAGGGCTTCTCACATTGTCTGGCCAATCCTTCACACAGTTCCTGACCAGCACTCATCACTCTCTCTCTAGAGTTCTGAGCCTCTGCTTAGGCATTTACACCAGAGGTAGAATGTATACACCCAAGGGAGACAAGCTCTTCTTAATCTTGAAGGGAGAGCATTGCAAAATGGTCCAAATAGTTTCAAAGTAAATAAGGTATCAGGGTCTCTGGCTAAATGGACGCTCTACCAGCTCTTGCTTCGTTCTCTAGGGAAAAGCTCTTTGATAATCTAATTGTTGCAGGCAGAAAGGCTTGAATTCTAAGTGTTTACGTGTTAATGTAGAAGGATACTTGATTTCTTCTCCCTGGCACAACACACTAATTATTATTCATAGTAATTCTGTTCTCAGAAGAAAAGTGCATTATGTGAGCTTCTTTGGGGTTTGGAATAAATCTCCTTGTGACAGAGATGAAACTACTGAAAGTACAAGCCCAGGAACTCTGTTACCAAATACATACAATTTGATTGTGTAGTATGGAAGAAATGATACTGGTAACTTAAATGTATCCCAGAATGATGCTGCAGCCTTGAACAAAACAAACTGAAATGAGTTGAAGTGAATATTAAAAAGTAAGAGTGGTTCATCTGTGTAACAGGATGTGACTAGGCTTTAATGAGGATTTCAGGAGGTAGGTATATTGTGTCCCAGACCTCTAAAGCAGATGCTGTAGCGTAGAAGGTCTTGAATACTCTCAACTTAAGCAAAGATGAACTGATTATTCAGTAGGTTGTTATTGGTGCATTAATTCATTATGCTGCCTAGGGCCCCTGTGGTTTCACCTTGGTTCAGTTACTGTGTATACATTATGCATTTGAAGAAAGTGTATAAATCATTCTGCAAACTTAGTATAAGGGTAGTGGTTCTGCAGTTTTACGATACTTCAGGTGCTACTTTGTGAAAGAAAATTACCAAATTAGTGTGTTGTTCAACTACTGCACTTGATCATTTTATTTCATTTACTGTATCAGGAGTTTAACTGGAGGAAAGATTTGAGTGAAAAGTAGAATAGCACCTTGTAATTAAGTGGCACCTTTTCCTGGAAAACAACTTTCTTCCCTGCACTGTTATGTGCACACTCTGTGGACTGCAATGATAGGTTTCACCACACTGAGACTACATACTCTGAAACCTGAAACTTGTCTTGCGTGAAGCTGGCTATAGCAATATCCCGTTCACACTCTACTATCCCAAGGCATATATTGTCTATTATTCATTCTTCCATGGAAATGAGTCCTTGTAGACTTGATCTCAAGATCTCAGTAGTAGATAAAATTTACTCTGTCTCTGGGGCTTCACAGTGCTTAATTAACTTAATTTCAAACCGTTTCTTTCCATTGTCAAGAGATTTGGAGAGCAGTTTTACTGTACTTCATAACCATGCCGTTGTCCAACATACTCCCTTAATAGCCACACATTTCATCCAGCAACCGTTCTTTACTTGGTTGGTGCCAGGCACCGCAGATTTTCACAGATCAGCCTCTTTGACTTTAATTCAGGAGCAAAGTGGACAAGACCAACATTCAAAGCAGAGTTTTCAGTGCAGCACAGATGTGCTTTGATTGTGGTCATTATCAAAGCAGAAAGTAGTTCCACAAATATCAGTAGTCATTGGACATCATTCATTTCACTCTATAATGGTCTGCTGTAGTTACATTGTCAACTGGGTCATGGAGAGATTAGGTGGCCTACAAATTCAGTGTCTGGTATGGAGTCACTAGTGAGAGTAGGAACATCACAAAGACTAAAACATTTCTGTGTGGACACTCAGTCCTTGTCTAAAGTAAATGAGGTCTGTGTGCTTGTCACTTGGGTCAGGGGAAGACTGTTACTGTTTTCCTGTTTTCCTCCTTGCTTGATTGTTAAGAGTTCTTTACCTGTTCTGTTCTATCTTTCCTTTATCCATTCAACCACATCCCTCTTAAGGATGTGATGTAGTGTAGACTGGGAACCTGCAAGCTATTCCTTATGCCAATATGGTCATAATAATAAGATGATTCTTCTCTTTGAAGTCAGAATAATGCCAGTAGGCTTTCCTCTCCTCAGCCGTGCTCTGAATCTCTCACGTAAGAGTTAACACAAACTCGGTAGAAACCAATAGCTGTGTTTCCACAATATCACTCCACAATAAAGTGGATTTTGAATTTGATCCTGAATATTAAATTTCAGGCAAGGCCCTTGATCTCTGCCAGTCTTTGAAATACTTGCATAGGACTTTATAAAATAATAAAAAAATAAAAAAATAAAAAAATAAAAAATGCAGCAAGGAACTTCACCTTTTGGTCAACCTAAAGTAGAGCAGTGAAGATGAGAGAACTATTCTCACAACCTTTGGAAAAGCAGTAGCAGTTAAATCAAGACTTGGAAAAATCAGAACTTGCTGCTTTGTTCTTTTATCTTCTTTTATTTTTTCATATCCTATTTCAGCTGAGTTTAAAAAAAACATGTAGAAGTTGATAAATTAGATTTATTGGTCCAAGTTTTGCTTCAAAGTACATGTGTATTTGGGGCAGCTATTTCTTTTGTGGCTACCATGTTACTGCTGTGGTGGGAGTGCAGTAAGGAAACAGTTATTAAAATTTGACTACATTGGCTTCTGCTTCAGCTGTAGAACAGAGTTTTTCTGATCATTGCGTTGGTCCATAGAAAGGTTATTTTCTTTTGCCTATCTTTGGTTTCTTGTTTTCAGCTGCCTCTATGCCTGAGCCTTCAAGTATTTTCTTACTTGTAATTGTGGCATCTATTTTACTCAGAGATCCTGGTTCTTGGCAGTGGCTGAGGAGGCCTTTTGCCCTTGGTGGAGCTGGGCTGCAAATGCGTTGGTCTCATTCCCTGATAGCAAATCAGGCATTCAGTTGTACAACTTTGGCAACAATTTCAAGCAGTTAGAATAGAAATTGGAGATAATAGGGCTGAAGGAAAACTCCAGCCTTCTCCCTGTACTACCCCTGAACCTTGTTTTTCCCTCTAGGCCAGCTGCAAAAGAGAGAGGATGAACGAAATCACTGTGATAATTATACAGTTCCAGAAGCATCCACTTCTAGTGGGACAATACTCCTGTGGCCAGCTGCATTGGTTTTGATAAATTTTATAGTGGGGAGTTAGTCTACAAGTGGTATTTGTGAAATTTATTTATATCTTCAGTCCTCCAGGATATAAAAGTGCTTTATGTTATCACTATACATAGAAACAGTTTATTGACATAGAATAACATCTTTAGTGGGAAATGACTGAAGAGCCATACACAGAAGAAAATTTGGCCAAGGTTGGCCAAAATCTTTGGGTCGCTCTCTTTAATAGAAAAAGGCTTTTCTTGCACAGAGAGAGAGAAAGTTTATATACATTATGTAGGATGTAAAATGGAACTTGTCCATATTTCTTAATAAAGCTAAATTTTTTCAGTTATGAATGGTGCTTTTGCATGTGGCCTGAGGACTCACAAGTCTTAAACTTCCCGTTCCTGTGGGTTTTTAACTTACTCTTTTTACCTGTTTTCTTCAGTGTCTGGTATTCTTGAGAGTCAAAACCCACAGTGCTCTTTTTCAAGGAGTTTCATAAAAATAAGTGGAGCTTGAGACTTCTAATTTTTCTCATTGTATAGAAATTTTAAATGGGACATTTGCACAAATTAAAGCTCCTGGATTTTCAGCATTTTTTTAATAGGGAATAATTTATCTCTATAAAATATGTGGCAGAATTCTGCATGTAAGTAGCAGCAGTGCTTCACTGATTAATTGTATTTATTGTTGTTTCTCAAATTATTATACATCTTTTCGAAGTATGAGAACATTTATACTAATTACATTAAATCTCTGTCATGGCAACATATGGCAAGAAGCAGGGCTGGCAGTGTCATGAGATTCTAAATGAAAGTGAGAGAAAGAGTAATTCTGAAAAGGGGGATATAATTATGACTGAACCAGAAAACAGCCCTTTGCTAACAGAGCAGGTGAACTGATCTGTTTTGACAAGACCTGATCCTGTGCTCCTTACTGAAGGCAATGGAGTATGTGCTGGTGGAAGAAACATATAACTGTTGGCAGCTTTCCGCTTACTCCACTCTTAGGTATCTTGTAAAAGTCAACTTTAACAGATGTGCATTTTTGCAGATGTGCCACGTGATTAAATATTCAGTATCTAGCCTCTTGTGTTTGAACAATACTGTTTGCATCACAAAATGGGAATAGAAACTGGGAAATATTTCCAACAGCATCTTCACACAAAGAAGATGAGAGAGAAAATTTGATGAAAGCCTATTTTTCAAAGGGATGCCTGAAGCATGTAGCTAGAGGCAAGTTAACGTTAGTTATAGTCCTCTGCAAGGCCTGTTTACATGTTTCCTCTGTAGTCAAAGGGCTGTATGCATGTGCTCTAAAAATTACAAATGCCTACATGGTTCATCTCAGTCTTTTATCTTACCAACATTTGAACGCTGCTTGACATTATGCTCAGAGATGTTCTAAGATCTCTAGCCTCTTTTTAATTGCAGTCAATATGTGGAATTCATTTAGGTTGGAGCTTGCCCTTTTGGAGAGTTGCCATCCCGCTCGTAGCTGAGGGAGGGAGAGATGTAAAGTGGACGAGCATAGCGGAAGGGCTTCCATGCTTTGTGTTCATGCAGATCATGTCCGGGTGGAGGATCTGGCTCTGCAAGAGGTGATGTAGGAAGGACTAACAGGGTCCGCATTTCTCAAGACAGCAGTGCTAGGTCTCCAGCTTGTTCTTTGTGACATTCACATGGGCAGAAATAACAAAGATGCAGGATCAGTTCTTATTTTTGCATCTGCCACGTAGGGAAAAACCACCAGAATAATTTTAGACAGCAAGAATAGCCTTTTTACTTGCATGGCAAGAAGTTGCTGGGGTTTTTTTCGGAATTTAAATGGTTATTTAAAAAGCTGAGATATTAGAAAAGCTGTAGCCATTGATTTTTTTCCCTCTGGAAACAAATTCTAGTGCTGTCAATGACAGAACTGATTTATTTAAATAAAGAAAGGGATGTCCAAAGATTCTACAGTATTATGACAGGAAGAGAAGCTGCTTAGTATGTATCCTGAAATTCTGTATTGTTTGACTTTTAACATCATGTTGGAAGTTCCATATTCTTACTCCTAATGCAGTTGAGGTGTAATTGGAGGTGTTTTATCACTTTAGTCAGGAGTGTATGTGTAGTATATGCAGGGATAAACGTACTTTAATTTCTAACGTTGCTTAGATAGTAGGTGTTTTTTAAGACAGTTTGTTTTAACAGTTGGAGATGCATTATGTGTTGTATTGCTTAAAGTTTTATGGAGATTGGATGTGTCATCTGTCTGTTCTGGACATGTTGCATGTTGTGCCCAGATACGCATTCTTGCTACCTTTCATTTGTGTCACCAGTTCTGGTCTCAGTTTCATCTTGATTTTTCATACATTAATATTTGGCTTTTCTTTCCTTCCATTTCATCTTTTCCACCACTGCCTAATCCTTCCACCATCATGGCAGAAGAAGCTATCACTCCTACACTTATTACCTGTAAGTAACTTCTTTGTCATCAGAGACGCACTTTCTGCCATGTTGTTCCATGCATAAGTAGTGAATGCTAATATTGAAAGTTCCTTTATGAAAACGAACTTTGTAAAGTTTTACCAAGATAAAAACAACATGGTCAATAATGTGATGAAATACTTAGCTATATAGCAGTTTCTTATGCCTCATACTGTGCATTAGAGCCCTTTGAATATCATTATGTAACAAACTTTCTTAATTGAAAGTGGTAGATATAAATATCACTACCGTGTCTATGAAAAATTTAATTTTATGCCTAAGTGACTTACCTTTAGAATTTATTTAGTGGTTTCTTTCTCATTTGTTCTGTTAGAAAATATAGTATTGGTTAGACATGCACAAGCATTTCCATTTGTTGCTGTGTACATATTACTACTTTTTCATGAGTAATGATCGCGCACAAACATCATGAGTTTTACCATTACTGGAGTGAATTTCAAAGGAGAGCACGCTAAAAAATGAGGGCGAGATGAAGCATAACTTCCAGTAAGTAGTAACTTTTCATTTTGATACCATCCTTAGTGATACCATTATATGATTTTTATTTACCGAAAGCCTTTGTTTCGTTCCGTGTTGTCAGCAGGTGATGAATGGGAAGGGTTCTTCCATGAATTTAGCAAATCGCTTTCTCAGGCTCTTCACCTTTATTTGCTTCCCAGGTAAAAGGAGTTCATGGAAGTTTTAGGATTAGCAAAATAATAGGCATCTCAGTGACAAAAATGAGATGCATTTAAGCCCTTTTAATCTTATTGGCTACCAGCAAAAATGAGGTGTCCGTTAGATATCTGGCTTCTTAAAGTGCAGGTTTAAAAGTCATGGGGAAATTAGGAGGCATTTTTGTATAGTTACAGAAAATGGAGTATTACTGGCATGACACAGACTGTAGCACTAGTTTTCAGGTACGCTTTTGAAAGGAACACATTCAGTAATGTTTTTATTTAAAACTAATATTGAGTTTCCCGTGTTCCTTTTTAGTTGCTCTTCAAACTTTTTAAATAAATATTTTTCAATTAGTACTTTGAAAAAAACATCCAACATTGATTTAAAGAATTTATGGAAGAATTAGTGAACATTTTCTAACTTGAAAACTTGGTGAGCAATGATGAATTAAAGCAAATAAAATTTAAACGTCTTAGTTGAAATGAACCTGAGACTTCTGAATATACAGAATATACTGCTCATTTACTTTGCAATTCAGATTTCATATTACATTATTTGACATTTTACATATAGTGCAATTTTTATTAAACTGTTATTCAAAGTTCTGTATTAATATGAAGGTCAGAAAGAATAGATACAATATTTCAAAATTTGTTTTTGTTCCTGAGATGTAAAGACTACATTTTCCATGAAATAGACCGTCTAAAAAAAATTAATTTGGGACTTATTTAAATATTATCTTTAAAATATCAAAAGAGTAAGTCATATAGTAAATCATATAATACATTGTTGCCATAAGAAGTAAATATATTAAAATTAATACTTTAATGTAATTCAAGTCCCAAGGCTAAGACAAAAAACAAATTTGAAACAAATGGAACGCTAAATGAAGCACTGTTTCACTATTCAAAGAACTTACGTTTTATCTTTTTTATTATTGTGTCTACTGACAATGGAAAATATGTGAATTGAAATATTTCTCGAAGTTTTAAAATCAGGTTTTTTCCCCAGTTTTGCAATCATAGAAACTGTTACTAGTGGGTGCAGTAGGGCTTCTCTTGATTCTATGGAATGCTCTCACAGTGGCTTCAAGAAAAGACCTGGGTTTTTTAGTGCAATAAAAATTCAATAACTTTCTATTTGAGTACATTAACTATTCCAAATGAAATTATGTGATCTTGAGTTTGTGTTGTTTTGATCCTTATCTGGTAAAAAAAAGGGAAGTAAGAGCCTTGAAGAGCAGACAAGATCAGCCTCCAATAGGCAGAAATATTTTGGGTCTAATTCTCCACCTGTTTACGTGCCATGCAGTTTCACCGAAATTGGTGGAAATCTTAGATTAACGCAGGATTTATTATAGTTTTATTTTTAGCTGAGGAAGTTGGTATGGATTGTAAAATGTTCTATATTTTGAGAAGCATAATTTGAAGTACTCTGCCATTGCTAATTTACCAGTCCTATACTGAGTATCATATTCAAATTTACTGATTAGTCATTGTAAATGCAAGCTGTAGCATCCAAGGGAGCATCTATGCACTGAAATAGTTACTATTGTCTTGTGTGCTGCCTTCCTTATGTGCTGTGGGCTCCTTTTCCCTAGTAGACTCTAATCTCTGCCACTTCTAGATCCATCCTAAATTAAAATTAAAAAAGAAAAAATTGGCAGATGCCTAGAGCTGCGGATGAATCATCAGAGGTGGACCTACAGCTGTGCATATTTGGCAGAGAATTATTTCCATTTTATCCTGTCTTTACTAGTTAGCCAGTCAAGAGATGCTATAGAAAAGAAGTTGAGTACTGCTATTGAGAATTATACATTTTTTTCAATGTGCTTAAGTACCTCTGCCATCGCCTTTTCTCCCACTCTTGCTTTCCTGAGACTTTTATGCTTTTTTTACCTTTCACCTCAGTCAGGCAGCAGTTTATATTTATTTATTTTTTGCCTGGCCATAGTTAGTTCTTTTGTTCTTAGTATTAGAGCAAATTTAATATTGCTTGTTAACTCTGCAGCAGGTCTTTTGACTTTGCAGTTGATTTCAGTTGGGAAAAAAGAACGGAGGACTGTCTTGTTAGTGACACTTGTAACGACTGGTGTCCTCAGCATGGCAGCCAGTACTGGCACGACTGCTTTCTTAACCCTTAACAGTGGTTTCTGGATAATTCCAGGAAGTATGCAGTCATCACATATAAAGCTTTTGTAGTAATTTGAAAATAGTGAGAGAGGTTAGAAACAGGCCTGTATTCTCAACTGCAGCTGCCCCTGGAACTAGGATAAGTTCATCAGTTTGTCTTGTATATGGAGGAGAGCACTGAGCAGAAAAACATGAATGTGTTTGAACTGTTTGATGTGTTTGATCTGTTAGACTACATCTGTGATCTCATCTGAAGCTTTAAATATGCATGGTTACATAGGCTTGTATTATAGAAGCGTGTAACCCAATATAAACATAGACTGTATTGTCCTGTAAGCTAGACTTCAATGGTTTGGGGGTACCCCATGAGTTTTGTTGCATCTGGCAAAGTCTAGAATATCACCATACTAATATCTTTGCATAATATGCAGTGTCCAAGATAGCATGGAGGGTGTTTTACTAAATAGCCATCTCTGAAAAATACATTTGTTGTCTATATGCCATGTATACGTACACGTACAGAGGTACAATGTCTAGCTTTCATGTGGAGATACTAAGCAAACTCAGAAGTAATTTTTTATTTTTAATTAAAAACAACACATAATTTAAAAAAATATATCAGAAGTTATTATTTCTTATACTGATTCTATGTGTCTTCTGATTCTTTTGAATGTGATTGTATTGCTTTATAGCCACTGCTTGTGTTCCCATTTCTCTGTAGAAAAGATTGTAAATAATTCTTAACACTCAGACCACCAGTAAGTAGATCTTTCTTTTTATTTTATTTTATTAGTTGTTTCTGAAATGCGTGAGGCCCACCCCCAGGGCAGTGATCTGACTATATGAAATAACTTTCTTGAGGTGCAACAGAGATCAGATCATTCATGTGGAGGAATAGCTCTGCTTTGGTTCATCTTTTATGGGCATGTTTAGATGCTCATTCCAAGTTACTTTTCTAATATCTATGCATAGGGAACCCATAGTCATTTTTGAAGTTTTTGAGACTTTTCTAAACGTCATTAGCCCAGATATGTTCAGTGAGAAACTATAATCTGTAATGTGCTGCAAATAAATGGTAGTACAGTGAGAGTGAGGTGAAGTATCAGAAGTGATTGATTGCTGTGCTGGTCACACAATCACACTCAGTTACTGTTCTTGCTCCCTCGGTGTCAAGCAGTAAATTTGGAGAGGAGCTGGGACTGGAGATTCTTCTGTCCTTAAAGGGACAGTTTCAGTTTACACTGCTTGTTTTTGAAGATACCAGACATGTAGTGTGAGAACCAATGTGGTTGCAGGGAAAATAAATGCTTGTGCAGTCTGGAGATGTCTTGGTTCTTTCCACATTAATAAAACTTTGTCTTGCTTTTCTAAACTTATACACAGGGATTCAAATGGAATACTGAGATTGCTTTTAGAAATTGTGTATTCCATGTACGCCTGTAGGATAAACATGAAAGCCTGTCCTTTTATATGTAACACTGAGATATAATATGCACATTCAGATGTGGAAGAGAGGATAAGGACAGGTATGTTGTTAAAGAAGTTTTCTTTGTGTTTGAGTATTTGTATTGCTGTCTCATATTGAGTCTAGTTCAGTTAACGTTAACATTTTACCAGGGTGGACTGTCTTCTCTACAACACTGTGGACTGACTATATTCCTCACTTAGCCTGTTGACATTGTTTGTCATTCTAGGCACTGATATTTTGACATCCTCTACCATCACTGTTGAATTAGACTTTCAAAAAGAGTATGAGGTGAATCATTCTCATTTCCCTTAAGACTTTTCCCTCAGCGAAAAGGTGCAATTGCTGTGTTTTTTAATCTGAAATTTGTGTATACAAAGATAGCTCAAAACTGACTTCAAATTCTTTCATTTTAAATACCCAAATATAAAGGAGAGGTGTTTCTTTTCTTTTGATATTAGTATTTGTTGTCTAAGAGGGATAATGACGTTGGAAACTAACTTTGTCTAAACCCCAAAACTGCCATTACACTTTATGTGACTGTAAATCTGTTAATAGTAAAGAAGCTATACTGCATATTAAGACCAAAACTTACTTCATAATTTATGTTGCTAAAGGCCTGTGTTTTTTCTAAAAGATTGAAGCATTAGTTTTCAAAATGGCTTAATGAAATATTGAACTGATCAACAGAAGATGTCTGAAGTGGTGGA